CTTCGACCTTGCCGAAGATCCTTTTCTTCTTCTTCCCCCTATCTGGGGGCAGTGGGGTGGGAGTGGATGAAGGGGTTGGAGTAGAGAGGGAAGGTTGGGGAGTTGGAGGGTCTGATGCAGTAGGAGTAGGCGTGTGCGGAGGCGTGGGGGTGGTAGGAGGGAGTGGAAATCTAGACAGGGAAGGAGGAGACTCCTGTCTGTAGGTGTGTTCCTTTTTAACAGGTGAAGAGGGGCAGATGTGCATCTGTCTCTTTCCCCTACCCCTCTCTTCACTAACATGTCCAATCAACTTGTGAATTTGCTTCACCTGTTCTTCTTCTTCCTCCTCATCTTCCTCGCGATTTCTTTTCAAGGAAGTGGCCCTTTTGGGAGGTACTTCCTCCACCTCCATGGCAACGTTTTCTTTTGCCGGGCTTTTTGCCGGACTTTTTTTGCTGGATTTTTTTTGTTGTTGTTTTTTGTTGTTGTTGTTTCTGTTGTTGTTGTTTCTGTTGTTGTTTCTGCTGTTGCTGCTGCTGCTGTTTTTGTTGCTGCTTTTTCCTTTGAAGGCTGGACTTCTTTTTGCTTCTTTTCAGGCTGTTTTTTGGGGACGTTTCTTTCGGGACCGGAACGGTAGTATTTTTCCGTCCCCTATCCACTTCTTTCCAGCCTTCTTCGGTGGGTTTTTCCAGTGTTGATTTCACAATCATAGCTGCTGTTGTTGCTGATGCTGGAGTGGGGGCCGTTGGTTTAACATTTTTGCCCGGGCACTCCTTGGACATATGTCCCGACGCCCCACACGTCCAACAGCACGGCTTCCTTCCCTCGACCACAACCAGCATCCTCCTCTTTCGGCACACCAGTGTGTTTGGGATTTCTCGGAAGTTTTCTCTATTGACTGTTATTTGTACCTCCATGTCCCCGGTCTGAATTCCGCTTTTACTGACGAGGGCCTTGACTTCGTTTACTTCGCCGTATTGGACGAAAAAGGCCCCCATCCTGTCTTCGCTAATGTCTGCTGGGACACCGTGAATTGTCACCTTCGTTCTGCGGGTTCCCATATACTCAGTCTGCATCCGCAGATTCTTCGTTGTGAGCAGACTTCCCGCCAGTGCTTTCGCCTGCTCCTCTGTCGCTAGGAGGATGTCCCATAAGGCGTTCGTTCTACGCGCCAGTATTTTGGGGTAGATCTTTAACGACTTCAAGCCCTCCTCCATCACCTCTCTGCCAACACCGATCAACTTGCGGGTCTTTACATCAGATGTTAACAGAGAGATTGTTCTGGTATCAACCGCATCTAATGCTTCCTGAATGGTAAGGAATTCATTACCTTTAAACGATTCCTTAAACTTTTTCCTTGTTCACAGTAAAGGCTGCATCTTTTTGTGGCGGCCTGTTTTAACCCAGGCCGTCTTTGAGGGTGACACCGTTTGTGAAGGCGGTGTATTGCTTTCGTCATTATTATTGTCGGCCATGATGGGTTTTTCCGGCCCACCACGCCGAACAACTAAGCTTTTGTTCCTTCCTCCAACTTATTTTTTTTTTTTACACGATAAAATAATAATCAAAAAAAAACAAACATACAAACTCAAACGGTAATAAACAATTCAAAAAAAAAAAGAATGGACAAAAAAACAAGGAAAATTCACAAAAAAAAAAAGGCTGAAAGAAAAAGGCAAAATAATTCAAAAAGCAAAAATAAAATTCAAACGGAAAACAAAGAGAAAAAAAATAGACAAAAAGCAAAAACAGAACGAGAAAAACTGAAAATCAAAAAAGGATGCAAAAATTTAAACTCAAGAGCCTATCCTTTCAAACACAATGGAAACTCAGGTCAATCGCAAAAGCACAAGGACACACACGAGTGTATATTGTGTAACAAGTTAGCGAGTCAGAATGACTTATTTCCCTTTATAGTCTACCAATAGAAGATTAACCAATCAGGAGCCGCTGAAGATCGTATCCGTCGTGTATAAAGGCGGCCATCTTTGTTTTCCCTACCGGAAGGACCAGAGCCAACTTATCAGGCGAACATGACAGAAGGAAGAACTACACTCTGCTGTGATATCCACTGCGAACCTAAAGTATGCTTTCCTACTGTCTCCGAAATATTCACTGCCAGCCTCTGGATTCTATACTCGAGGACGACCGTCATCAAAATGTCTAACAGATTCTTATAAAGTTGATGCATGTTTGGGATGATGAGGTAACCAGTAAAGATTGAACTCATGACATTAGCTCTTAATTAATCCACTGGCTATCTCATTACAGCAGTTAGAGCCTGGTATGTAACCTCTATAAAGCTCTATAATCATCTTATAAGATTGAGACATCTGAAATGATTAATGAGGAAATATGGCTTGTCTAGGTCCTAAAGGAGAACGACACATGGAAGAAGAAGAAGAAGAAGAGTAGAGTTGAAAACATGGCTGACTATTCAATAATTTTGACGAGAAAAGATGGCTTGGAGAATTTGACACTCACAGGAAGATTAAAGGATGAAAGGGAAACAGCGGGTAACCTACCTAACGAGAGTGTGTAAATGGATGACCGAATAGTGATTGGGAGGGATGGTGGATAGACACGATTTGCGAAGGGTTATGAAGGATAGGAAAAGTGGAGGGCCATGATCATCTAGGTCCTGAAGGAACACGGAACATGAAAGAAGAAGTGTATAGTAGAAAACATGGCTGACTATTCGTTAATTTCACGAGAGAATTAGAATTAGCAGCGATTTGTACAGTCGTTTTAAGATCCCCACCCACACACACCATTCAAAAATATGAAGCGAAACTGAATAAAGCAAATATAAATATATTAAAAATGAAATCATTTCAATCAAAGAGAAGACAAGTTTATTAGATTATCATTGGAATCTGGCTTTCTCTTTCTTTTTTTTTTTTCACATTTTTTTTAATCCCCCCCCCCCCTGACGAAGCGGTTTTATTTAGCGATTCGCTGTCTGCGCCAACGCATTAAATTAAATTTCGCGCTTGTAGAATGTCAAAATTTTTCAATTTATGGAAGATTTATTTTCGCGGCCGTCGGTCGATAATGGAAACACTATTAGCTTATCATTCACGGTCACGTGATCCTCGACCTGGGTGTCATTCAGATGTAAAGATCATGGCATCGTGACTGTGAGACACATTTGTTATATTTATGTCATCTTCTGTTTGATATTATTTTCCATTTAACACTAAAACAGGCGGGAAATTGGCTTTATCAATATTACTAGTTTAACTGCGTCGTTAGAAATGGCGGCATAATTTGTTAAGTTTTTAATATGATTATAAGCTGGTTTTACATGTGGGTTATTAAATATATTTTCTCAAGCCGAACCACTGTAAGGGAGATAACTGTAATATAGCAGAAACTATAAATTTAATTATTATTAAATAACATTTACCGGCCTGAATGTCCGAGAAATTTTCATAGAAAATATTCGTCCTTTGACAGGATTCGAACCTGCATCCTATACGGAACCGTCATTTATGCTGACGTGCCTTAACCGACTCGGCCACAAAGGAGCGTTCGGTAGGCAAGGTCGAATTTACTTTTTTATTTTTTTTATTTTATAAGCAGTAAATTTACTTTTTTATTTGTTTTATTTTATAAGCAGTAAATTCGACCTTGCCTACCGAACGCTCCTTTGTGACCGAGTCGTCAGCGTAAATGACGGTTCCGTATAGGATGCAGGTTCGAATCCTGTCAAAGGACGAATATTTTCTATGAAAATTTCTCGGACATTCAGGCCGGTAAATGTTATTTAATACTGTTTATTATAAACAGAGCATTTGCTTAAATACTTGTATCTATAAAAAAGAACGTTAAACATAAAAATGTCTTTAATAAATATATATATATATATATATATATAGGATCATGCCTATCAAGCCCAGAGTAGATACAGAATGCTCTTTGTGCTACAGTTACCTATTCGTTGTTCTTGATAAACGACTCACCCATCCATTTCATTTTGGCAACTGAAAACAAAATTTCGCTTTTTTTTAAAGCCTACACAAGGTTCCAGATCATTTTGACACACCTTTTATAAGGAGTTATTTAAAATCCGACATTTTTTTATTACTTTAAACGTTATATTTTATGGGATGGAAATGTTTTACTAAGCATCCCCATTTTTTTATTTTTTTTGAACAGTGCAAATATACGGCTGTATAATCGTGGTTCTAAATACGTTACATAAAATTAATTTAGGAGCTTCTGAAATATTCACAGACAGTCCCAATTACAAAAATATGGACCAAACATCAGAATTTGAAAAAAGTCACTTCTTGGTTGAGCACCGTAGTGTATCCCTCACCGATCAGATCGACCAAGCCTGAAATGCACAAGGAACATTCTTTGTGTCATAGTTAACGATTTGTTTTTCTTGATAAACGTTTTCACAATGAAAACGCGATGTTCGGCCATCCATTTCATGTTGAAAACTGAAAACAAAATGAAACAAAATGGCGTTATATAGACATTTCGAAAATAAGAACACATTTTCCGTTCTTTACTCTATTCCGCTTTTATTAAACCTACAAATGTGTCAGATCATTTTGCCACACCATATATATATATATATATATATATATATATATATATATATATATATATAAAGGTGTTTTTTTATTCTTTAATTATAATAGATTTAATTGTCGAATCTCACAAAACATACGAGGCTGAATGAAACCTAAGGAAAAAAAGAAATATATATATTTGGTACAGAAAGAAATATTATTTTGATTGTTTTGTTATTTTATGGCTTATCAACCTTTTACAGGTTATTTAAAGCCAGAAAATATTTTTAGATGGTGAGAATTTTTTGGAGACAGTAATAGTTTACTGATACAAGTCTTACTAATTAACCTATAGATAGAGGAGAAGAAGTGGATTCCTACTTTCTCAACGATATTTGCGCATAATAGGATTTAACGAACCCGATTTGAATTGGAACTCGTCTCCTCGATTTTCAATTCCGAGCTGTTATCCATTACACTACACGCACATACAAGCTTACAGCACGTGGTATTCCAGAGCGGTTATCCATCTAGGTACTGACCAGGCACGACGTTGCTTAACTTCGTGATCGTACAAGAACCGGCATTTCAATGTGGTATGGCCGTAAGCCGATTACACCACCCGCACGTCCAAGTTACAGCCCCTGGTATTTCATAGCGATCGCCCATCTAGGTACTGACCAGGCTCGACGTTGCTTAACTTCGGTGATCGTACAAGAACCGTTGTTTCAACGCGTAATAGCCGTAACACCATCCGCACGTTCAAGCTTGCAGAATCTGGTATTCAGTAGCAAACACCCATCTAGGTACTGACCAGGCTCGACATTGCTTAACTTCAGTGATCATATAAATAGAACTATAATAGCCAATGGAATCCATGGAATAAAAGAATCATTTGGCATAAGGGCGTTGCTACACAACCTCCTCAAGCGATCAGAGAGGATGTGCGGGTGGTGTAATAGACAGTGCTTCAGAAAAGAAGTGGGAGTGGCGAGTTCGAATTCTAGTTGCGTTCATTACATTCAACTACGCTCAAGTTCTCTTGGGATATTTCTGAATCCATCTCTTCTGCTCCCCCTGATATAGATTAAATAGTAAGACTTGTAATTGGAAACATCATTGTTATTTCCCTAAAAATTGTTAAAGTAATATTCACCCGCGCGCGCAGAAGTAATTATTATTACAATCCAAAGTACGTTTCGACTTTAAATAATCCACAAACGGTTGATAAACCGTAAATCTAATCAATAAATCATTCCCTATCAGATAGGTCCATTAAGGAGGTCGTTAATGATCAGTAATCTGAAGCCCCTTTGATTAATTCCCTTCCTATCCCATTATGAAGGACTAAGTTGCAGTCAGCTTGTTTCGTAGAGACCTGTTACTTTGTAGAACAAACTCCCGAGACAATGCTTCCCTGATCACTGCGACCATAACTTCTTCAAGTCTGGGTTCAATAATTACTGACTTTCATATCCTCATAATATGCACTTTTTATTTCCTCCATTTACGTCCTTACAACAATATCTCTATCTATAAAAGGCAGGATGTGTGTGTGTGTGACGAATGCACGGCCGCAATTTTCGACGGATTTGCACCAAAATTTACATGCACATGCTCCAAGTTAGCGGGAAGGCCAAGGCCGACGTTGCATTTCCCAACTCCCATCGATAGTGGAAATAATCGATTTTTTCATGATTATACGGCAGTTTTCATGTAGTTTGCGGCCATTTTCTACTGGCCAGAGTGAGAGCCTATAGCTGGCTGCCACGAATAGGCAAGAAGATTCTATTGGACAGCGTAAGAGCCAACTGCGGACTGACACGAATGTTAACTAGCATGCAAAAAATCGATAGCTGCATTCGACATAAGTGGGAAAAATTTAAATCTGCATGGCACTTTACTCCAATTGGCTCATTCGCTTGCTTAAACTCAACGTTGATTCTGATTCCGCAGAACTGGGTTGGGTGTGAAAAAGTATTTGTTGTTAACATTCTTTTTTCATTCGGTTTTTCCAGTTACGAGTCCTTTTTTAAACCTGATCGTTTTGTGTTCATTTTGTTTAGTTCTTTTTTCGTAACAGATTTAATTTTTAGTATAGAGCTTAGAAAAAACTCCCAGTGTGAGATAAGCAAGAAGTAAGGCATGTAGCAACATCAGCACGGAAAAGGGCACTCCTTTAAAGGCAAGGAAGGGCAAAAATATTTTAAGTCAAGTGATAGCGATTGCTGTATGAGTCGTACGATTTTTGAATCAAGCACGGGCAACGCCGAGCCATGCTGCTAGTCCTTCAATAACCCGCTACTTTGAGTGGCTCTTGAGACTTCTGTTGGGTGATCAATAAAATAAAAAAGAAACTAATTTATATATCAATGTTTTTAGTAAAAGCGTGTGAAGATAAAATAAATATTTAGCGAGCTTTTGGTTTCCATCCAAATAAAATAATTTTTATGACTACTTAGTTAAAAAGAATCCATAAAAGAAAATTATTATAAAGGCGATTGAGCGACCCACTGTCGTTAATCAAGAGTTATACAGTAGCCGGAAACAAAATGTAATGTGCTGGCCGAATAGCGGGAGTAAGGGATTTTTTGCTTGATATCTCTGTGATGTATCCGCTTAAAGAAACTTTCTTTGATGACTTTTCGGCTAATTTTTTGTGTGAGCTGATGAATAAAGGCCTCAAAAATTATGAAGGACTTGGAAAAAAATAAGTTTGATTCTGTCGCCATATTTGAGTGTGGTTTAGAGAAAGTAAAGAAAAAAGCGAGAAGATGGAGTCTAGATTCGAATTCGTAAGGAGTGACATTGGATGATAAGAACGTCTAAAGTTTTTTTTTTTCTCAGGGATGAATTTAGAGGTAAGGTAATGAAAGATAATATTCTGTTATGACAGTAGATACGATACTATTAGACATAAGATTTATTTACTTTAATAATTATGAAATATGAAAATGTAGAAAGGGCAGAAATTTCTCTGGGTAATGATTTTTAAGAAATATTACTTTAATTTCTGTTTTTACAATGATGTTAACCCTGTATAAGACCCGAGAGCCACTCCAGATGTTATAGAGTAAGGTGTACAGCTTTTGCGAATATATATGGCTATGTTGAGGTTTATCCCTTGTTTCCTGTTTAGGATTGGGTTTCCGGTTCCTTCTAAAGTCTTATTCCCTTTTACTTCCAATAAACAATTTAATCTTAGTGGCATTATCGCCTTACTTGGAGGTGCAATGATTAATTTTTTTTAATCTGAAATCAAGACTATACTATCAAAATATTCACAATAGATAAAAAGAAAAGAAAAGAAAGCTTCAGTTTAAATTGACGGCAAGACCATAGGATAAATATTGCTTATATTATGGCTCGCTGTAACGAAGGAAAGCGGGAAGAAAGGACTAAGTATAAACTACAAGAAGACAGAATGCTTGGTATATTATTTACATTATTCGGACTATTGTCCACATATTTGTTGCCATATTTATCACAACGTTTTGCCGTTGTAAACTGTGGCCTTCTTCAGGTGGTTGGAATGTCGAACTGAACCCTTTATTTAGTTTTCTGGGGTAGAATGTTCTAGTTCCACGTGCCATGTCTAATGGATGTCAGTTATCAGTTATCTCCTGTTTAATTTCCTCTCTAAAATTTCCACCGCCTTAACCAGGTATTGAACTCACACTCTTTGGGTCCTGTCACTGGATCTAACTAACGCTTTTATCCACTGTGTCCTTGATAACTTTCGAATTTCTTTGGGAGAACTTGAAAAAAAAATGGAAATAGCTTTATTTTTAAACATTTACATCATAATAGTACAATAAAAAAAAAAAAAAAAAAATGAAAATGTGACATTGGTTACACGATCAATACACTATCTCGTAGGTTAAATTGCCGCCTCCGTTTCGTTGAATCCTATTCTATTTTAGTTTCTTCTCTTCAGTAACGTTTTTACAGTTTCCTTCACGCTGTTGACTTTCATTCTCAGTAATATGTTTTAGTGGATTCATCACCTTATTTTGGGTTAAAAGAAATAAAAATTGAAAAAAAATATGAGGGGAATGTGCGACAGCTTATACGCAAATTAGAAAAATGAAATAAAATATTAAAGCAGCAGACCATATCGGTCGATTTTAATAAAAATCATTCGAATGGATTTTTTTGTGGCTAAGTATGTTACACACACACACACACACACACACACACACACACACACACACACACACACACTATGGAATATTCTACCAATTCCATTCCGTTTCTGGACACATTGGTACCTCTCAATAATAACCACATCTCCACTACACTACACAACAATCCTATTGATGGTCATTGCTACCTTAATATCAACAGCTGCCACCCAACCAACCTAAAAAATCTATAAGCTACATCCTATGCGTATGCATTAAACGCATCTGTTCTCACATAGACAACTTTGCACCCACTTTCTTAATAGGAATTGCCCAGTCAAAATAATCAATAAATCTATCACCAAATCTTCCAAACACTTATGTACCTAAAAAGAATAATCCCTGGTCTTTTATTTTAATTATAACATCCACAAACTTTCCCACACCTGAAATAAAGTGTTCCAACGTTTAAAACTAGACAATGCTATTAGTAAATTATTTAGCGATGGCCCCCTTACAGGTGAGGCAAAAGTTTCCCAAACTCTTCAGACTTTCAACATCATCATCTGCAACATATCACCTCACCAAGGGAATGTCACCTGAAACAAACCTCGGTGCCTGGTCTTCAAACATCTGTCAGGTTACACTGCGTGCCGACTGCCGATATTTAACAGTCCCCGCACGAGGAATGTATGTGGCACAAGGCCGAGATTAACGTAGGTTTCTCCGAGCCTGTAGGCTCGGCCAAAAATATCCCCTTAGAACCCGCATAAGCGGGTTCGGGATCTGCCAAAGCAGAGAGTTTGACAGAAGTCGCGCACAGTCAGAGACTGCGGGTCGACTGCCTGCTTCGGAAGTCTCGTAGGTTAGTATTTATAAAGGAGGAAGAGTTCATTCTAATGTAGCTAGGTCACCATAACAATATTCAAACCACTGGCTCTAAGTTGTGACTGTTCCCTGTATATTTACTTTTCTTTCGCAATTGCGAAAAGGGGAATTATGTTAGAGAAAGCGGGACAGATTTCCGTTTACGGTTCAATAACCAGAAGAAAAACATAAGGGACAACAACAATTATCTATCTCTGTACACTTTAACCAACCTGGTCATAGCATCGACGACGTCGGGTACGTGTTTTTAGCGTTTCGGTTCGGTAGCCGGGCGGACAGACGCAGATCGGAGTTGAAGTATATCCTAAAAGTAAATTCCCACATAGATGGACTAAAACGGATATGTGTTTACTCAGAGAGTGCAATTTCCACATGGAAATCCGTTATCAGCAACACCACTCCTCAGCTGATTAAGCCCACTACCCACATTTTAACTCTAAATTTTAACAGCCTTCATCTCCCCCATCTACCTACTATATTTATATGTTCTACTACCTATGATTTCCCTGATGACGTACTATTCTGTAATGGAAGTATTATCATGTACACTGAAGGCTACTTTCCCGTCATCCTTTTTTATACCATCATTGGTTCTATCCCTAAGTCTTCTTTACATATAAGCTTATGTAAGTAGTGGGGAAGGTTAGTGTAGATACATATAAATCTTGTACATGTATTTATATCTTTACGTTTATTGAGATTCATATGTTTGTGTGGTGGCTTGTGTACGGATG